CCCCCCCCCCCCCCCCCACGATCACATTCACATGCTAAGAAGATTTATATATTTCTCAAATAAAGTCACTTCGACCTGAGCGGGTCTAATAAAATTCAGGTTTGTAGACGTTTGTTGTTTTGGTAAGGTGGGTATGAAGGAAATGATAATAATAATATAGATGTGTTTGTGACAAAATAATAAAGGTTGAATACAAGGTGTTTTCGTGCTAAAACTTGTATACACTCGTTACATTTAATGTAGTTTTTATTTAAAGTTATGTTAAGTGAACTGGAGTTATACACACAAAGGTGCAAACAGCTACTGGTATGTACGTGAGTTGAATGCACAGGTATTGTCCTACATTTATACAATACATAATGCAGACTTCATAATGAGCATGATGCAACAAACTTAAACACACGGAGAAAAATATGGCCAAGCAAGTGGAGCAGTATCTACCAATTTTGGATGAGCTTGAGAAACCAGGTATCGACAGCGAGGGAGTAGAAAAAGTTTACGCAAAATGGGCCGAAGAATATGATAAGGTAAAAGGTGGTTTTAGTACCACTTTGCTCACTCATCGACGTAAATTTAATTTTTGCAACTGGATCAATAATGCCTTTTCCGACATCCCCTTTTATTTCTTGTGTCTTTAGATGAACCATTTAATAGAAAGAAATAAAACTATATGTGACTTAATCCAACCACAGATAATCCACTTAACAGCTACATGAATCACCGCGTTTGCCAGAAAAAAAGTGTTATTCTGAGCGTGTGGGACGTATGCACAACATGAAAATATCTTTATCAATTTAACTATTTGGTATGAATGAGATATGGTATGATACTGTCATTATTTTTGGATAAATGTGTTCAAATCTTTTAGGATATGGTAACTCTAAGTTACACTCAACCAAGTGTCTGTGCAGCCGAATTAGAAAAATTCTTAAAGAACAACAAAGATGCGCTTATTTTGGAGGCCGCCTGCGGAACCGGTTTAGGGGGCATAGAGGTGATTAGTATGTCGCTGAGTTAGTTACATCTTAACATATCTTTATATTTAAGCATACCTGGTATCATCATCATGGTATACCAGTTACCATCTATTAGTACTCACGTTAATACTGGCTCCACGTTAACCGCCAGCAAAAATGCAACCGCGTCGGTACACTTTGTTTAAATGTCTGCATATTCTTCTATCCTGGGCAGGGATGATAAATACCATTTGACTCACGTCTTAACCAAAGTATTCCACACAGTTTGGGCAGGGGAAATGAGTTAAATATTTACATGTTGTATATTCTAGCTGACAAAGCGTGGTTTCCACAACCTCCATGCCTTCGACATGTGTAGTAAAATGCTTGAAAAGGCCAAGCAGAAGAACATCTATAAAAAGGTTATGTGCATGAGGCTTGGTCCTGAGGGTCTGGATATCCCTGATGGTAAGTACTTTGTACGTGTACATACACAATGATATAAATCCTTTCCATTATCTAGTTGGGGTGCTTAGTCTAAAATACTTGCCAAATCGGCTAAAATTGGCTAAATTGTTTGCTTTAGAGTAAGTATTAAAAGCGTTATCAGAGTTACTCGAGAAAATATTTTATTTGTCATAAGATGGAACCACTATTGAACTGTCCAGGGCGTTTCACCACCCTTGGTTTGATTGAAAAGTTTATGAAAAAGCTTCCTTACCGCTAAATGTTAATGTCCCAGTAACTGGCGGTTTTGCTTGGAATGTTTAAGTTCTGAATTTTAAAGTGTTTAATTGGCAGTTTCAGATTATATATTTTAGAATTTAAGCTCTTATCTTAAATTTATATCGCACACAACGCTGGACACGTGGAGTTTGGTTATGGATAATTCTTCTTCATTAATTTATTTTTATTAATTAATTTATTCATTAATAAATTTATTTATTACTAGACACGTACGATGCGGTCATGATGACAGGAGCGGTAGGTAATGCTCATATGGATGGAAGCTGCTTGGGAGAATTCATTCGTATTGTTAAACCAGGTAGGTCACCATTTTACCACTATCGATTGGCAGTTCTCATAGGCAATTTAAAACATTTTGCATGACCCCTCTTTTTAATTTTTATCATATCGTCCAAGAAAAAAAAAACCTTGAGTAAGCACACATTTTAAATTGAATCCGTATTTTCCTAATGACAACATTTAAAAAAAACTCCTAAAAAGTGAAATGGAAAAAGATTAAAAGGAACAATGAAAACTGGTTGTTAAAGTTTTTTTTTATTCTTTCAGGTGGTTACGTGGTGATGGACACTATTGTGAAATACCTAAATGGCAGTGAATATGGAGGCAAAAGCTGGGATGAGTTAATCGATGACTTCCTGATGGCAGGACGCTGGGTCACGGTGACCAGAAGACAGGTGGAGAACGCGTTTAATAGTCTGGACGGGACGCAATACGCTTTTCAAGTGAAGTAATGTGGTATAGGAGCCGATTGGGGGGGGGGGCTTATCCCAACTTACTTCACCACGTATATTTGTACAACCAATAAAACATTGGAGAAAAAAAATGAATTCACCTTTAAACTAATATACATTTAAATGTTTACAACGCTAGGAAGTAGGTGCCGGAGGTTCCACAGGGTTCTACATGAGGGTATAGTGCATTAACTGTATATTTTCCGTTGTTTATCAGTGCCAGCCTGTTTGCTTTTGGTATAATTTGAGTCAATCCGTAAAAGTTATATTTGCTTAACCTTTCTTTTTCCTTTGCATTTTATATATTTATTAACCTTGTAGTGTTATTCACATTGTGCTGTAAGACATCGTATAGTAGGTGTCCAAAAACGTACAAATTATGAAGTTCAATTACATCAACACTTGACAAGGCTTTGAATTGAAGTCTTGCACAGACTGTTGATACATCATTTACTGAAGTTCTCAAGTGTTAAAATGACACAGTTTTGTTACTAGGCCACACTTTTTTATTTTTATGGATGACATCCTGCGCGCGCACCGTCGTCCGTTCTCCGAAAAAAAAAATCAACCCCAACGAAGTCGGTTGTCGCAAACGTCATTATTGAATTTGCCGGAAAATGAGCTTTCTGCGCATGTGTATTATAGCCACGTGGAAATATGGCGGATTTGCCGTCAAATTCATCTCTAGGATTACTGTCAGATTACACGACAATTAAACTCATAAAGAGGACGGGGGCCGTCGTTTTGGATTGGTATACAATTGATATTGGGCATGGAGATATCATCTTTCTACAATTATACGAAAGGCTGGCGGTGGCCAGCGATTATCGCCCGGAGAATTTCAGTGACATTCTGCCAAAGCAGCACATACCAGGTTTTTTGTAGCGAAAAAAGGGTCGACAAGAGCGTCGAGGTATTTGGTGGGCTGAAGGTGGGACAGGCCACCCGACAGTATGGCTGCTTCGTGCG